TTTATATTATTTTCTTTAGTTAAATAATTTAAAGCAATTTTTAAGATCAATGAGAACAAAAAAGATATAAGGCAGGGGTGGTGAACCCATTGCACGCGTGGCAAAAGTGGCACGTTTATCAAATTTCAATGGCAAGTTAAAAATTAAAACTGAGACAAGTTAGCTTGTAAAAAATTCAAAAGAAATAAACTATAAACATTAAAAAAATTATAATATTCCTAAATTCAAGCCCAAAAACATATTTATGGTAAATGATGCGTTTTGGTGAAGAGTTTTATGTTCAGGATATAAGTAGGTATGTATATTTATAAAATGTTATTGTATTCGTTACACTTCAGTTTGTTATTTGTTTCACGCAGAGTAATGAGCAACACGTGTCCAGAGCAGTGGTTCTCAACCATAGGGTCGTGACCCAATTTTGGGTCGCTAATAATGTTTAAATGGTTCGGTTATTTTTTATTCTCTCATTGAATATTATTTATAAAAAGGTCACATGAAAAATTTGGAAAATATTTTAGGTCGCCACTATACAAAGGTTGAGAATCACTGCTCAAGAGGACATTACTCGGTTAATAATTTAATATTGTACATATAATCATGCTTTGACGATAATATACCTACACAGAAAACTACGAAAAGTAATAAATCCAAATAGTGACATTGAAAATATTGTAGAAATGTATATGGACTTTAAACATTTGTAACAATACTTTTGACGATAAAAAATAATTAGTGAATTCCAACGATACACCGATAGCTAGGCTGTTTGATTACATCAATTACCTACCTTTATTGTGAGTTATGGACATTGGACGCATAAATACATCAAATAATATATTTTGAATAAAGCAATTTAATGGTTATGATATAAAAATGGCTTGTGATTGCCGCCATATCGCGATAAATGTAATACAAATAAATACGTAACTACATTATTATAGGTACATCATATTATATAAGTAAACTAGCCATTAGGAGATTTTTGAACSGYTTTTGAATATTTTTATTTTTTAGTGTCTCAATTTATGGTAATAGTTTACATTAAATCTATTATAGTGCTTGTAGGCTATGCTAGAAAACTATTTCAATAATAATAAAGTAATTTAAAGGGTACATCTAATTGAAAAAATTTGAATATATATATAT